ATTTATGTATCTAAATATATACACTTTGAAGAAGTTAGACTATGTATAAATCTTGATAAGTTATGCTTATAAAACGATAGTAGTTTTAAACTACAAATGTGCGAGTTCTAGATCGAAAACCGAAAGTAGTAATTTGTTAATGTACCATTAAATCTTGAGAATGTTATGAATGTACATTTAGTTTTTTGTATCGTTATATAAAATGGAAGAAAGGATAAAATCGTCTTTTACTAACTGTCATGTTCAATGACACACAAAATATTTTCTTTATTGTAAGACTTACATACAAATTATTTGGGATGCAAAGTATATTCTGTAATGATAAACAGCAAACATATTGTATATATACAATGTGAAAGAATCGCCTTTTCTTATACACCATATTTTTTATCGTAACAAGCAACAAAATTGAAAGATATGGTCAAGAAATTTTACAGATTTTATTCGTTAAAGCTTCAAATGGAAAATGTATGCACATTATTTGTGATAAATAGTAGATAAAGTCGTTTTTTTTCTAACTTAAAGTTTTGTTAATAAATGTTTCACTACATGCGATACTTGACAAGTCTGTGATTTTTACTTACATATATTAATGATAAAATATTAGGCTATGATGAACACACAACAGTTTTAAGCAATAGGGGAGGGATTTTGTTGTTTGAAATTAAGCACAAAGCTACACGATGGGCTATCTGTGCTCTGCCCACCACTGGTATCGAAACCCGGTTTTTAGCGTGGTAAGTCCGCAGACATACCGCTGTGCCACTGGGGGGATAGAGGGAGGGTGAAACAATATAATACCTCTTATGTTTCGCTTATGGTGATTTATTCTAATTGACTACTAACATACTAGAACATGTGTATGCTGTAGGTATTATTAGAGTGGGCTGTAGGTCAGCATTTTATAAATTAAGATGTTTACGTGAATAGTATATTAGTAGATTTTAACATTGTTAATAAGATGTTTATGTAAAAGCGTATTAGTGTATCTTGAAGTTTTATTAATATATATTTAAGTATGAGTGATACTTATTAAGTCTGTTATTTTAATTACATATATTAATGATGGGTTACGATGAAATACGAGTTTTATGTTAAAAAATCACAAACCACTGATTTGTAACTGATGATTATTATATATCTGATGATCTTTTTATAAAGTATAAGTGAAAGAAATTGCATCATATGTTACCGAAACATTGTTTTAAAATCTATTTGAGAAAAATATCTTGTTTGAAATAGTCGATAAATTAGATTTTCTGAACCTACAGACTGAAATCTTACATATTTAGTTTGCATTGAACCTTTATTCGTTTATTCATCTAGTGGCATGACTTTAGTATGGTGTCTCATAATAAATTTAGTGTTTATTTACACATAATGTTACACAAATGAAAAATACAAACTCTAACTGAGATAGCAATGTTGACATAATATAGAAATATTTCTATGAAATATACTCTAGTTATTTATAAGCTAGGATGTTTATAGTATAGTAGCGTATCTTGAAGTTTTGTTCATAAATATTTAACTATGCTTAGGTAAACACATCATTTGGTCTTACACTAGGATTAAGCTTTATCCACTTCCCATCTGCTGGGATGCGTCAGCAATAGGCTGAAAGAACGACCTATATGAAAATACCTACAGAAAGGTAAGAATATTAATAGTTAAACATAATTATTTAAATAAATCTTTTAAATTTTAGGGAAACAAATCAACTTATAAAGCTAAATATATAGATTACTGTATATTATTTAGAAATTTCAATAAGCATCCTTTTCAGAGCGAATAGATGTTATACAATACATTTATTATTGAAATGAATGAGTGATAAGCGTTTTACATATAAAATGTAAAGAAATGCACAAATTACATCATGCAAATTAAATATAGAAATGAAAACTATAATCAGCACTTTAAATGAGTACTAAATTGATACTTAAAAATATGATCAATTATACTAACTGTTTTGTTCAATATTTATAAAAAACGATACATTATCTATGATAAAATCCTTTCAGAACAGATAACCGTAAAAGTATGTAAAGTAAATTATTCACGATAATTAAGATAGTACGTATTGTTACGACAGCGGAGGTCACGTGACGCTAGTAACACATCATCTTCTCGAACGTTCACGTCCCTTCCTGAAATCTTGAGAGCCTACTATATATGCAGTACTCTTATATATATAAACCGTTAAGAACTGACGGAAGGTAATGTAATGTGTAATTGAACTGCGGACAGAGTATTGTTGAGTTGAGCACGTGAGACGTTCGTTGTGAA